GTAATCAGTAGGACCTTCTCCTAGGAAATGGTGGAGTCTTTTAGGAACACTTATGACTCCATGACCTGTTAAAACCAGCAACGTGAGCATTATTTGGAGTGAACTTGTTCCAGGTAAAGCTTTGGCCTTTTGGTGCAAATGCAAAGGAACTTCGTCTGTCAGAGCCCACGCCAATGAGACCAGTCCTGGTGGAATCAGGGTCCCTTTAAAAACTGTTTTAGCCTGTTGTGACATTGACACCTAGACCTAGTCTTGGCATTTGCTCCTAATATTTGCTGGGCTACGTAGGCAGGTTTAACCCCCACTTCTCATGTGGTGGAACCCGTGTGTTTTTTTGGTGATTGTAGATACGCTTAGCCCCTTGCCCCATTCTCTCGTTCTCAATTCTCTTCCTTATGCTGGACTTTTAAAGCTTAAAAAAAAAACCCACAAAAAACCCCCAATCCTGATTGAATATAAAAGTCTAATCCCATTCTTTGTGAAAATGGTTGCTTCCACCTGACTCCCTAATTGTGCTGTTTGTGTCTTGCACTGGAATTCAACATTTCCTTCTTTTGTACTGTGTTGTGCTTGCTGTCTCTCGGACATCCTTGAAGACTGTCTTTTTAGCAAAAAGAAAATTCAGTAAAGTGTTTTCTGTAATCATTTTTTAAAATTTGAGAACTAATTATTGTCCATAACTTGTAGCCTTCTTCATTAAAGTCTTGCTTCTCTCAAATATAAGTGGCTGTTTAATTGCAGCTCAGCATGAATGAACACGTGGAGGTGGCAAAATGTTAATTACACAAGTTCTGCTGAGCCACGCTGACTGTTAAAAAGCGATGTCAAACTGTACTGGATATTGTCATCTTTGGAAGCCACCTGGAACCCTTATTCTCTTTGGAGTTAAAGATGTAAAGAAATGCTAAAGTTTCAAATTCATCCTGTAGTTACAAGTTGGAAGCTTTGTACAGCTTTATTACCTGTTAACTGCATGTTTGGGGGTTTGGTACTATTTTTCCGTCAGTGAACCCCAAATGAAACGACAGTGAGAACTTGATCTCCTCTCAATACAGCCGCCTCCTCTTGATCTGGTGGCAGCTGGAGTGATCTCCCTCTAAACTGGATTCGGATCCAGAGGCTTTTCTCCCCTCAACTCACCTCAGTAAGATGGCGTGCTCTGGGTAGAAGAGTGACACTGCGATGATTTAGGGAAGCAAAATATCCTAATCTGCATTTCTCAAATGTGAAAAATGTACAGGTCCATGAACATTTTTTAAAACATCGCTTCAGTGTTGTTATAATGTTAATGAAGTGTGTACAAACAAAATACAGACTTTGGCTTCTAGAGAACTAGAAAACTTACCATGTACTGTTGACTGTTGCGCTGAGTCTAAGTCGCTGCTCATGTCATGAGTAGTGGAAAAACTGGCGTGGGGAACTTGGGTGGGGTGCCTGTGCCACTGTGTGCTGAGAAACGATCCCGGTCTCTCCCACCTCCACCTCAGCAAGAAGAGCGCTGTGACATTCGCTCTCCTCCAGAACTGAACACAATTATGAAGTCTGTTCTTTGCTTATTCCCTTGTGATAGTTCAGGTATTACACTTGGAGTCAATGTGATGAATCTGAAGCAAGACTTGCTTAGAAGCTGTTAATGCTGTTTTGTTTTTTAAGATTATGGCTGAAATAAAAACATTTAGACATTGGCACGACTCAGAGAGTGACAGAAACACTGTCCTGATGGGTAAGAGTGTGAGGCCCAGTCAGGGCCCGGCAGTGCCAGCCGTGCTTTATGGATGGTGAGCCAGCCACTGGAATCTCTGAAAATCCATTTCTGTCTTTTGCTCACTCTTCACCCATTTAAATTTGTGCACACATTTTCATGGGTTTTGTTCTCTCAACTATAACATTGGTTATCACCTAGCAATTTGATTTAAATAAGAGAAAAATCTCCCCAGCCAACTTCTGACTATACTATTCAGATGGTTGTACATAAACTTATTCAATATTTATCCCCAAGAAGCAAGAACTGAAAAAACGACAGCCAAAAGGAAGGATAGAGATATATTGTAGTAGATTCTACCTAGCACCCATGAAGTAGGTTTGGTAAGCTGCTGAGTTTTACTAGGTGAAAGCAAAAACTCTTCTTGTGAGCCACACATGCGGTATCATGCCAGTTCTTTATGGAATATCTATGTGTGGCCCTGAAGCCAGCCCAGGTGTGACTTGGGGAGTTAATGATTACCCTAGCAGTTATCTAAACTACTTGGCTCCACTGGGCTGCAGGCAGTTCACCTGCAGAGGAGTCTCCGGGAATCAGCATGTTCCCTTTGCTCATTGGGGCTGGACTGGTGGTTCTGAACCTAGTGACCTCTGCTAGGAGCCAGAAAACAGAACCCCTTAGTGGCTCTGGGGACCAGTCACTCTTCCGGGGAGCAGATCGATATGACTTTGCCATCATGATCCCTCCAGGAGGCATAGAATGCTTTTGGCAATTTGCCCACCAAACTGGATACTTCTATTTCAGCTATGAGGTAGGTACTTGGGCTCCTCTGGCCACATGGGAGAACTTCTTTGTTTCCTTTTGTAAAGTGGGTCAAGTCCTAGACTAACATGAGGTTCTGGTTGTCTTTATTATGCTGTGATTCTCCATCTGTTAATGAAATAGACCTGCAGTTAGATGGAAACTCTTAGATGAATAATCACTAAAACATATGGCTTGGCTTCCCAAACTGGAGGCTATGGAAGTGTGCTCAAAACCATGGGACAAATGGGGTGCCTCTTCCTGCAGAAACAATCATCACATTTACTTGGATTTGGGGATGAGAAAATGCATTTTTAAAATATGAAAATATGGATATGGAAAGTCACATGAACTTTAAAGAGATTTCAAAAAGACACTTCAGTTTATGGGGCTGGGAGAGCAACATTTAGTCTCCTGCCTTAGGGGTAATTCTGGCAAAATGGAGAGTCACTGGCTCAAGATTTCTCTATTGGGCCAGACAGTCCTGTTTGTCTAAGAAGGTATGTAAATGTTTTTAAGTTGCCTGATCACAGACCAGGTACTTAAATCCATCTTGCTCAATAATGAAGTTAGAGGCTGTTCATTCCCTTTGTTTTTCATCTTAGAAGCCTCTTAATTTTCTAATCTGTTTACATAGTAATAGATTATGTATACTGATCTTACTCCACTGTAACTTCAAACTTATTTTGCCGAGCTGGTGTGGCTCCCTGGTTGAGCGCTGACCCATGAACCAGGAGGTCACTATTTGATTCCCCATCAGGGCACATGCCCAAGTTACAGGCTTGATCCCAGTAGGGGACACAGGAGGCAGCCAATAGATGATTCTCATCATTGATGTTTCTATTTCTCCCCCTCTCTGAAATCAATTTAAAAAATAAAACAAAAACAACTTATTTTTAAATGAACTTATCAGAACTTTTTATCTTTAAATTGTGATAGAAGAGTATAGTCAGCTCACTGTAGCCTGGGCTTATAAAGACCCAGCTTGGCAATAAGTGCCTACTGAGTGCCTTATTTCCTATGAAGCATGAAATAAGCCCAAGTGTGTGGAGGACATCAGGGAGCTCAAAGCCAAGCTAGTTCAGTCAAGACTCTACAACCAGAATCCTACACACCAACTGATTCAGGCTGCTATAAGGTCTGTGACATCTCTTCTTTATAGGAGTGCCATCTGCATTTGGGGCAATTCTTTGTCCTGTAGTTCTGTTTCTAACTGGCAGGATGTTCATCTTTGCTGTCTCTCCTCACCCCATCGCAACACCATTGTTATCTCAATCCAAATTCCCAGAAGGGTGGGCAGTACCATCCCTGATTGAGAACCACACAGGATGTCAATCTTACCACTTAACTTCTTGGTGATGTATCAGGGACTGTTCTCCCTCTTTAATGTGTCTCGGCAGGTTCAGCGGACAATGGGAATATCACATGACCGGCATATTGCTGCCACTGCACATACCCCACAAGGTTTTCTCATAGAAACCTCTCAGAATGTTCGGGGCCAGATTAACTTCTCTACCCATGAGACAGGTCTGTTTTTATCACTACAGCTATTCTAATCATCTTTCTTTTAAATTGGGAAAATGATGAGGACATATTGAAATTAAGTGGCTAAAATGTGAAAACCCTGGCTTTTTTGCATAGGATGGTAAAACAGTAGGAAAAAACTTTAGTCTAGAACACAAAAAAACAGTTTTCCTGGAGACTGCCAATGGCCAAGTGGTAGTCCACTGGCAGTTTGGGGGCAGTCTCCAGGTGACTAATTATAACTCGAGGGTCAGAAACTCAATTTTATCTCATCATCCCCAACTAACCAGAATATGGGAAAGTGCCCCAAACAGACAGACTCGTTAAAGATACAGAATTTCATTTAGTAAATTTATTATGGAATGACATCTCTTTCCAGTCATTGGAATACATGACCCAGTTACCAAAAAACACCCAGAACAAGAGGAAATCCACAGCCATGAAAAACAGCCACATCCCACAACAAAGCACTTCTCGAGTCACCAGGAAGGGCCTACAGCCAGATCGAGCCTGTCCCCACCTGGGACAGCACCAGTCAGCAGCACTCTCTATCAGCCAGGTGTACGAAAAAACATGTTTTTCAATAGGAGCATAGACGATCCTTCACTGTGTAGTATTATAGGACATTTAGCATCTTTGGCCCCTCCATGCCAGTAGTGCCTTCCAATCATTTCGGTAAATACACTCCACACACACAAGGGGAGGTGACCCCAGCTGAGAACCAGCACCAGTATATGCCCAAAACCATCAGTCCCTGTACACACCACCTTGTAGTTAGTTACTCATTTCTTTCATTCACATCAATTTTTGCTTAGTTTAAGTTTAAGATGGTATCCTCCAGCTCTTAATTTCAACTCAATTTGAGAAATGCCTTCAGAGATAATAGGTTGAAAAAGAGGATGGAAACATTGATTTCTTTTCTGTTTAGACCTATTAGTAATATATGCCAAAACATGATTATTATAAGTAATGTTTAGTAAAATAAGTTTCATTTAAGATCAGTCTAACTTCTACATCAAAAATTGGATTGCTGTACTTGCTAAGTAAAAAGAAGGTGCTAATGTAGCACACTGACCCCCGGAGAACAGTTATCTCCACACCTACAGGGTGAGAGAGCAACAAAGGGTGGGAGACCAAGACTTGCTAATGATCCAGGGATCCCTACAGGTTTTTATCAACTTTGTCTAAAAAATCAGCAAAATCACTTTGGTTCAGTGCAAGTATACCTCAATTTTGGAGTCTTCTATGAAGAGCCTGAGATGGACCATAAACAGAAGAACGAAAGAAAACAACTGAATGATACTCTGGATGCAATTGAGGTAACTTGTGGGAGAGAAACATCCATGGAAACAGATTTTAAATTTGGAGAAAAGATTAAAAATATGGGAGTGATATCATTTGAGCTGAGAAACCAAACAGGCAAGGGGATTTGAAGCCTTTAATTTTTGACTTGGAGTTCTTGTTTTATACTTTTTGGCCCTATAAATTTGCCTATTTTGTATATTACATGGATGAAATTACACAATGTAGCCTTTTGTCTCTGGCTTCTTGCATTTAGTATGTTTCCAAGGCTCATCCATATTGTGGCACGTATTTAGCATCTCATTCCTTTTCATAGCTGAATAATATTCTATTGAATGGATATACCACCTTATTTATACACCCATCAACTGACAGACATTTGAGTTATTTCCATTTTCTGGCTATCATGAATAATGCAGCTGTGGACATTTGCATACAAGTTTTTGTGTAAATGTGGTTTTATTTCTACCTATAGTAGTGTATTGGGTCATATAGTAACTGAGTGTGAGGAACTGCTCCTTTCCACAGTGCCTAAACCATTTTACACTCCCACCAGCAGTAAATAAGGGTTGCAATTTCTCCACATCTTCACACTCATGGGTGTGAAATGGTATCTTGTGATTTTGAATTGTCTAATGACATTGAGGAACTTTTCAGGTGTTTTTCAGCATATGTATATCTTCTTTGGAGAAATGTCTATTTAAATCCTTTGTCCACTTTAAAATTGGGTTGTCTTTTTATTTGAGATGCAAGTTGTTCCTTTTTTTAATATATTCTGGATATAAGTTATCAGATATGATTTATAGGTATTTTCTCCCATTCTGTGGGATGTCTTTGCACTTTCATGATCATCTCCTTGTTGCACTGAAGTCCACTGCCTAGTTTCGTAAATGAAGTTTTGTTGGAACACAGCATGCTTAATTGACAACTACGTATTGTCTATGGCTGTTTTTGTGCTACAATGGCAGAGTTCAGTGGTTGCAAGAGACTGCATGTCCTGGAAAGCCTAAAATATTTACTGTATTGTCTGGCTCTGTGAATTTGCAGGCCTTGGTCTTCTACCACATGCAAGAGCTGAAGACACAACCTAGGACCGTGGTTGGCAAACTGTGGCTCTTTGGCCCCTTGAGTGTGGCTCTTCCTAAGCCTTAGGCGTACCCTAATTAAGTTAATAACAATGTACCTACCTATATTGTTTAAGTTTAAAAAATTTGGCTCTCAAAAGAAACTTCAATCGTTGTACTGTTGATATTTGGCTCTGTTGACTAATGAGTTTGCCGACCTCAGATCTAGGACAATGTGTTGTGTGGGTATCTAAATTTAGAGATCTCGAGAAGAGTTCTCTAGTTTTAACATGGACGTTTTTTTAAACTTAAAGACCAGGCCATGTTTTCATATACTGCAAACGCAGCAACATGTATCAATTACAATAGCCAACTTGTTACATATCATAAAATCACTTAAGTTACTCAATTTCCAGATAACCTTAAGTTAGTGGGAGAGCATCCAGGTGAGGCTAGGTCGGGGGTAGGGAGGAACCCTTTCCTTATTTCATTGTCTGTCCCACAGGAAAGTACACGAAAGGTACAGAAAAATATCTTTCACATGTGGCGTCATTACAACTTTGCCCGCATGAGGAAAATGGCTGACTTTTTCCTCCTCCAATCAAACTACAACTATGTGAACTGGTGGTCGATGGCCCAGAGCCTTGTTATTGTTCTTTCTGGGATCCTGCAGCTGTACTTCTTGAAGCGTCTCTTCAATGTCTCAACGACTACAGACACAAAGAAGCCAAAATGCTAAGCTAAATAATTACAGCGTGCTGGGGCAGAAGCTTTTCAAAGCTTTGTTAAATCAGCTTTGTAAAGTTATTAGGGAAAAATCAATTTCTCCTATTAGAAAGTTTCAGTTTATTGGACTCATCTACAGAGGCAAAATAGCAATAAAGGAATAAAAATGTAGAAGTTCTGATGTTGGCTATTTCTAATGTATGCACCAGATGCTACCATCAAAATACTGTAGCAGTCCCTTAACCTTCACTAAGGCTATTTATTTATTTTAAATATTTTTTATTAATTTCAAACAAGAAGGGAGAGGGAAGAGACAGAAACATCAATGATGAGAGAGAATCATTGATCAGCCGCCTTAGGCACATCCCACACTGGAGATCCAGCCCACAACCCGGACATGTGCCCTGACCCGGAATCAAACCTTGACCTCCTGGTTCACAGGTCGACACTCAACCACTGAGCCATGCCAGCTGGGCCACTAAGTCTATTCAGAGGTTAACGGAGAACTGTGGAAGGGAGAGGAGTTGGAAAAATGGGTCAAAAACATATAAAACCTAGTTTTATGTGGGTTTTATATGTTGCACACAAAAACAATAGTTGGTAGATGCTTTTTTTGTACTTAAAAATGCTTTATTTTTAGAGAAGTCACCTCTGGAATTTAAACAGTATAATCATTAGAAAATTTGTTTTATAATATAGGTAGTTTAAAAAATATTTCTCTGTGAAATCACTTTCATTTAAAAAATATTTTAATTCTAAAAATGATTTCAGAAAGCATGAGGAAGAATGAAGGAGGCACATTATTTCAGGGTCTCTGATTAGTGCTTTTTGTCCAGTCCAGTAAGGTAAGTAAAGGTTCATAAGGGAAATGTTTTAGAAAACCAAGGTGATGAGAATAACATTCAACCTGAAATCACCATCCAGGAAAAAGATGCAGAAAACAGCTTGGAAAAACCAAAATAATATAATCAAATTATACTCATTAGATCCTACGCTTAGTAGCAGAAACACTCAGTATATGCAACATAAAAACAATTCTTACCACTTAGTCAGCACCTGTCATTTGCCAGGCAAATTCTGAAAACCATTCTTAGGTAGATGGTTAAAGCTGTTTTTTGAAACAGAAGAAAATGAAGCTCATTAAAGTTTAATGACTCATCTACAGCATCATAGAGCTGGTAGGTATTAGAACTAGGTTTAGGATCCAAGTTTTCTTCCACACCACACAGCACTCATCATAAGAAAAACTAGCAGAATAAATTGCTCTTAGTATTTTACCCAAATTTCATCTGTAAAATCCCAGACATGGCCAACTATTCTCATACAGCAATATCTACCTTTCTAGTATTAATAAATAAATAAGAAAACCTGTTGTGTTCTTACCATGAGCTTGAAAAACAGTGTTATCACAGATAACAATGAGCTATACTTGTCCTCAATCCCAATGATTTAGAATCTTTTACTGAAAATAAGAAGCCCTCTGATTGAAATATAAAACACGATATTCTATTTAGTAGCAAACACAAACACCCGAAACGCCATTTTTTGACCCATTTCTGCTTAATAAGAATCAAGCCTGCATTTGTCCATATTAAACTAAGAAATCCCTGGAGAGATCACAGTGTTGACCAAATTCAACATGATGGTGGAGCCTACACAGACACAGGAAACAAAGCTAGGACCTTGCACACAGCCACACGTCCTTGCGATGGTTTCGTTTTAAGTCAATGTCTCTTCGTGTCGCACATATTCCCCAATGTCTGCTTGATGAAATACCACAATCGCCATGGGGTCTACTTTCCTGCAGTCTTGTGTAGACTTTGCTGCCACCCCAAAACCCTGGGATTCAAAAGAAGAGACACTGATTCACTCAAGTCATTCAATAAGCACGCACTGAAGGCTGGGAAATAACAGAAGACATAAAAAAAATTAAAAAATAAAAATACAGTTCTCTGAGAAATTCCAACGGTGCTGAGCATTTAGTCTCACAAGCCCACAGACTGAAAAACACATCTTTCTTGAATAAAAAAAGATCTTTACGTAACAGCTACCAGCTGTACTCACCAAAGGGATGTCTGCCATGGAGTACACCACCACGCCCTGGTACTGAGATGTGTTTTCAGTGATTCGACCCAGTCCAGATTTTAACACATGATTCCCATAAAGGAAGGACTGCTCTGCTCCAGGCTTTATCCACACTTTGTACTATATAAAAGAGAATCAAATCCAAAAAACAAAACAAAAATGTTAACAGCTACATCCCTGCAGATAAGCTCGCCACTGGATCTAGGGCTGATTTCTTGAAAGATGCGTATTTCCCTCAAACTGTTCATCCCCTGAACAGAACTGCCAGCTTCTCTCCTCCACTCCACGAGCAACTTCTCCTATGCAGTGGCTCTCCACCTTCCTAATGCCCCGACCCTTTAATACAGCTCCTCATGTTGTGATGACCCCCAACCATAAAATTATTCTCGTTGCTACTTCATAACTGTCATTTTGCTACTGTTATGAATCGTCATGTAAAGATCTGATATGCAGGATGTATTTTCACTGTTACAAATTGAACATGACTAAAGCATAGTGATTCATCACAAAAACAATATGTGATTATATATGTGTTTTCCAATGGTCTTAGGCGACCCCTGTGAAAGGGTCGTTCGACCCCCAGGTTGAGAACCGCTGTCCTATGGACAGGTGAACAGCTCTTTGTCTGGACCCACTCTGCCCCTCATCACAGCGGCCCCTTTGCTTTTCGGTCTTCAGCGGAGTTTGCACAGGCTTTTCTACTTGGCCGGAGATAATTACAACTGGTGGTCACAGGACTCCCGGGGCCCTGGCTGCACCTACAAACCTCTCCACGTGCTGGTGCTGACGCCAATCCCTGTCAACTATCTGCGTCCTGGGGTGGCCCTCCTCCCCGACCTCCTCCATCCCCAGGGGCCGACTGGAAACCACCCCACAGACCTTGGCATAGGGTGCAAGGTAATCCAGAGCGGTGATGTGCAACCGGAATTTGTGGGTCTTGGTGAATTTCCCGAAGCAGGTCCCCAGCGATACCAGCTTGTCACCGGCGATGTTGGCGGCCAACTTCAAGATCTTTTCACTGAAAGGGTAAGAAAGACAGAGGTGCCACGTAAGGGCGCAGGTGGGACCCAGGCCCCCACCGCCCTCCCTCC